TATGCTACCCTTCAAAGGCAGAAGACTACAAGTCCTCACTCTGCCCCCTCATGAATAATCTTCAAATATACATTTTTTTTCCCCCAGTCAAAGGCTTATGAGTCTCAAATCCCCTCTCTCTCCCTCGAGGTCTCTTTTCTGAACAGAGGCCCACGGCAATGCTGCCGAGGTGTTTGAAAGTGCGCCAGCTCTCCTGGCTGTGATACCCACTGCTGATCCTGGAGCTGTCACCAGAGGGCTTAGTGGCGCAGCCTAAGTGTTAAAAACAATTAAAAGTGCAAAGGTGTTTAGTGTTGGCACTGTGAAGTACAGCAGCCATGATCCCTTTTCCAAGCCTGTGCAACATGCTTTGCAAGGGTGCACTTTTGTCTGTGCAACACCTCTTTCCCTCTGAACTGTGCTCCCAGAGAGCATTACCAGCCCTCCAGCACAGCTGCTCCGGTCCTGGGCCGCTCTTTGATCCATACTTCACACTGGCAGTGTTTCATCCACAACAGGCAAGGAGCAGAAAAGAAAGAGAAAAGGCTTCAAACAGTGTCTGAAGAACAACATCAGCGTCCTCCCCTTTTTCACCAGAGGAGGTCACAGGATGGTAGGGGTGGTGGGGCTGGGGGGTTGTACTAAAAAATATCACTGTCTTGCCAGAGCTCAGAAGTTGCTTTTTCCTCAGTGAGTTGGAGAAGGTCAAGTGGTGAAAAGCATAATGATGTTCCTTTCTGCAGAAAATCTTGCTGCAGACTCCCGTAGGAGGCATTTGTGCTGCCTCCGCCCCATCCTTCCCAGGATGGACATAACCACCTCAGGACAGAGATAAGACACGTATCTAACCAAGCATTCCCAGCTTTAATATATTCCACTCTTTAAAGCAGCATGTTTTCCCCTTTGTAGCCTTCAGGCTTTGGTGTGCACGACCACAGCTAACAAAGTGCCAGGTACTGGGGTTTTTGTTCACACCTTTTACTGCATGACTGGATCCAAGGAGACGGGTGGAGTGCCGTGAGATGAGAGGATGCAGGAGTGAAGTGCAGTCCTGTCCCTGCACACCACTGTGTTTGTCTGTGTACTTGTTAGAACAGGGATGGACAGAGGAAGAAGAGATCAAACACTCTTACCTGCCCGTTTATAGATTTTTTTTCCTAACTTCCTACACAGGAAAACCTTTTTTTACACGAAACCCTTCTGAGTTGAAAGGGAAGTTCATCCACACCAAGCTAAGGAAAAGCAGCAGGGGTTTTGGCTTCACCGTCGTTGGAGGGGATGAGCCAGATGAATTTCTCCAAATCAAAAGTTTGGTGCTTGACGGCCCTGCAGCACTGGATGGCAAAATGGAAACAGGTACCGATGCTTTATGTCAAAATCATCACCACCATTTTGATTTATCTTTATACAGCTGGTTTTATGTGCCTTTCATAAAGGACTGTAGCCCTCTTCCCCTTCTTGGGGAAAGGCATTCAGCTTTCCCATCAGCAAACCAGGAAGTGAGATACCCTGAGAGGGATATGTTCAAAATCTTAAGGCACTTAAGGTGTTGGAATTTCAGATGTCAAAATATCCAACTGAGGCTCTTCCAGCTCCTGCTCTCCCCTGAGGAGAGAAGCCAGTAGTTGTGGGGTCCCACATCAGGCTGTGGATTACTGCTCCCCATTGTGACAAGGGATGATGGATTTTTGTAGGGCTGCCCCACTATGTGTTTGTGTCTCTGCCGTGCTGCTTTCCCCTTTCCAAAGTTACTCCCAAGGAATGGGCAGAGTAGTGGGCTAGTTTGCATTTCCCTGTGTGGATGCACCAACAGCCAATTTATTTTGTGAGAAATCAGGCCCAGGATGATGGTTTAGTGGTGAAATATGAAATACGGTTTAGTGGTGAACACGGTGGAGCTGGGTTAATGATTTGACTCGATCTCAGAGGTCTTTTTCAATCTTGATTCTATGAAATCTTAGGATTCATCTGAGGTCACAACTCCTCACTTGCAGGTTGAGCATCACAGCATTAAACATCCCTGTTTTGTAGGCCCAGTGTTAATAAAATGACTCATAACTTAATCGATACCTAGATTTTAGCCTGAATTATGAGACATGACATGTGGCACTGTATTTGAGCAGTTGGTATTTGAGAGCCTTCTGTTACAGCTCTCACGTGCTCTCAGTTTTGTTTCTATCATATGTCAGTGTAGCACAGTGTGAAACACTGAGAGCCGGACTTCAAAATAGCTGTTAAACGGGCCATATACCATCATTTGAATTCATTAATTTCTTACGTGAGCCAATTCCATTTTCACTTTCAAAAACGTTTATGTACATAAAGGCCTTATGCAGTGAATCCTCTGTGTGCAGGGAGTTCTTGCTCGCCCAAGTGTCACCACCCTCCTTCCTTGTGCTGAAATGCTGCTGCTGCCTGTGAGTGGCACCTGTGGATGCTGCAGATCTGCTCTCAGGCTCTAGTCCTCACCCTCCCGGGGTGCACAAAATGTGTTTGTGTATCTGTGTCCTCTGCAGGAGACGTCATAGTGAGCGTGAACGACACCTGCGTGCTGGGGCACACTCATGCCCAAGTGGTGAAAATCTTCCAGTCCATCCCCATCGGTGCCAGCGTGGACCTAGAACTGTGCCGAGGGTACCCACTGCCCTTCGACCCCGATGATCCCAACACGAGCCTGGTCACGTCCGTGGCAATTTTGGACAAAGAACCGATCATTGTGAACGGGCAGGAAAATTATGACTCCCCAGCGAGCCACAGTAGTAAAACAGGGAAAGTAAATGGCACAAAGGAGGCGAGACCCAGCAGCCCGGCTGAGGTCTCCTCCAACGGACCCCATGGGTACCCCAATGACACGGTCTCTTTGGCGTCTTCGATAGCAACACAACCTGAACTCATAACTGTGCATATAGTGAAAGGGCCGATGGGCTTTGGGTTTACTATAGCAGACAGTCCCGGTGGGGGCGGCCAAAGAGTGAAACAAATTGTGGACAGCCCGAGGTGCCGCGGCTTGAAGGAGGGCGACCTCATAGTAGAGGTCAACAAGAAGAATGTGCAGAGCCTCACTCACAACCAGGTGGTGGATATGCTGATTGAATGTCCTAAGGGAAGCGAAGTCACGTTGCTGGTGCAGCGAGGAGGTAAGTCTTCAAAACTGCTTTAAAAAAATTTCTTCTTGAAATTAAAAAAAAAAAAAAGGCGTGTCATGAAAGATCTGCTCTGCTCTCCTAAGCTTCTCTGTGGAAATGGTTTTTGTCCTGAGGTGTAGGAACTGCCCCAGGTTGGCAGTTGTCAGGTGACATAGATGGTTAAAATTATTTATTGTATGATGCTGCACTGGCAGGGGTGCGCAGGTTCCCATGGGCACAGGCACTGCACACATCCTCTGGGAATGGGCTGAAAGGTGCTGTGGTTACACATGTGGCTACACCTTTACTTGCATAACAAACTCTGGTCTCATGCTTGTAAAACTTGAGTGTTTTAAATAGAAGATGGTCGTTTCTTGAGCTGTTCTGGGCGATGGAAAAGGCTGGTGATATGTCCTGTAATTTGCAGTGTTCAAAATCAGATACTCAATCACTCTTCACTGGGGAAGGTTACACTTGGGATACAGCTGGGAGTGTAGGAGAGGATTTAAACTTCTCCAGGTTGTAAGCAATTTTTGGACGTGTTTGTTTGCTGTGCACTTGGGACCGCTGCTCATTTTTTGTTGCGTTGCTGAGGCCACCAGCAGGTACAAAACCCATCCCCCAGGCAGTATGTCTGCAGCCCACATGGAGCATGGATGGCAGGTAGCCTGTCAGCAATCAGTCCATCCATGGGAACTCTTTCCCTACACAAAGTAAGTGTAAAGTAACCAGAGGAAGCACTCTCCACCTCTCATAGCACACTTTTATCCTGTGGATTGAGATTGCTGGAATAGGGTCAAGCTCACAGGGGAACTGCAGGTCAGCTGTTGAGTGCAAAGTCAAGAGCACAGGGGCCAACTCTCCCTCCCTCTGCTCTGGCATTGTCAGTGGGGATCTCAGAGGAACAAACTCTGGCCTCACTGTCCCATGCAGTGGTTTTTATGGAAGACACACACATTGCCTCACAGGGATGAGCAAAGTTAAGCTAACGAGTAGGTGCTGGACACAGCCTCCAGCCAGCTCTGGGAGGAGTGTGTGCAATAAAAGTACTTTTCTGATTACTTTAGTCTAAAGTGTTTTGATTAGTGATTTGTAGTTAGTGAGCAACGAAAGCCAGCCCATTTTAACCAGGGACGGGTTGCTTCCTGAATTTACAAGTCTGGTTTGTTGTTTTCAAAGACCTGTTTCGAGGCATTGAAGACATTGGTTCTGCAATTAATAGCTCTGGAGAATGCACTGCCGTTCCTATACTCCTTCCTCTTTCCAAGTGCTTACTGTGTTTTTGTATTTTGATAGTAAATTAAAAAGTAGAGAACAGAATATATTAAGAATTCGCCAATTTTCAAAGTGTGAGTTCCTTAAAGACTGTAGGTACTGTAGAGATTTAAAAAATGCACTGCGTTCTCATGATTAATATATGTATTATGGAGAAAATATGGTTGGAAGAAAAATAGCAGCTATTATTAATCCTCCTGGAGAGTGCATGTATATCTGGTAACACCATACATTAATTATTTGAATTGTGCCTGACATTTAATAATCCTTCTTATGCCTTGAAGGCATAATGAAAAGATTTGATGAGGAAATAAAAGCACAGTTTTAATAAAATAGTAAATAGTTCCCTGGTAATCTTGTTGAATCTCTCGTTTTTTAAAAAAAAATTAATTGAGAAACTAACCACATGTTGAGCATGTGCTATCACCTTCCTAGACAGGTTCCATATCAGTCTCCTTGAACTGCCTGCCTTGCTCCCTCAAGGTCCTGACATTTCCATCTCAGCACAGAACACCTGCAGTTTCAAATTTCACGCTCTCGTGGTACAGGACTCAGAGACTGTGATGGGCCTGGACCCACAGTTAATCACTGAAACAGGTTTCTCTTCATACCCAGAAGAAAGCTGGACCAAAAGGCACTCAAGCTGTGGCAGAGAAGCCAAGCAGAGTATGGACAGTGATAGCCCCAGAACCGAAAGCAGTCAGGTTTGTGCAAAGCTTGTAAGGTGATGCTGGTGGATGGGAGGCTGGATGTGCCCTGGCTGTGTGTGCTGGCAACCCAGAAACCACCTGTGTCCTGGGCTGCTCCAAAGCAGCAATTGAGGGAGGGGATACTGCCCCTCTACTCTGCCCTTGCAAGACCCCACCTGCAGTGCTGCATCCAGCCCTGGAAGGCCCCAGCACTGGAAAACCATGGACCTGTTGGAGCAAATCCAGAGGATGCCACAAAATGGTTAGAGGGATGGAGCACCTCTCCTATAGTAAAGACTGAGAGTTGGGGTTGTTCAACATGGAGAAGAGAAGGCTTCAGGGAGACCTTACAGCACCTTCTGGTACCTAAAGGGGCTACAAAATGGCTGGAGAGGGACTTCTTATAAGGGCATGTGGTGATAGAACAAGGGGAATTGGCTTTAAACTGAAAGTGAATAGGTTTAGATTAGATATTAGGAAGAAATTCTTGACTGTGATAGTGGTGAGGCCCTGGCACAGGTTTCCCAGGGAAGCTGTTGTTGCCCCATCCCTGAATCTGTTCAGGGCCACATTGGATGAAGCTTTTAGCAACCTGGTCTAGTGGAAGGTGTCTGTGCCCACAGCAGGGTCATTGGAACTAGATGATCTCTCAGTTCCCTTCCAACCCGAACTATTCTGTGATTCTATTTAAAAAAAAAAAAAAAGATGGGACTGGCTTAAATCACCCAGCACTCAGTGCTGCTGCTCTTGGGTCCTTTCTCCTGTAACTTGACCTCGTGTCACCCCTGCCAAGTCTTTTATCAGCAGTACCATCCCCAGACAAGGTGCCGCTATTTATTTTGGTCCAATGGCAGAAATGTGCTTGGCTGGAGTGTTTGATGAGTTCCTTCAGGGCCCTCGAAGCAGTTCTTCTTTAGCTTCCCTGTCACTTGTCCTTTCCTCCTCCTCCCTCTGGCGTCCAGTGAGGAAAGTGCTCAGATGCTGTCAGCATCCTTACTTCAGCCCAGCATTTGCATTCAGTCCCGCTGTGCAGGAAGCATCCCTACAACACTAAGGCTGGTGTTCAGAGTTGTTGAAATGATTTTCAGAAGTGATTACTAATCAGGCGGAAAAATATCGGGAAAAGATGCATAATATATAGGAAAAGCTCTGCCTGCTCCAAGCTGCTGGTGCACTCCCAACAAGGAGGTGTAATTGTTAAAATGCAAACCCAGAGCTGCTGAGAGCAGTGTGTAAAATATTTACTGTGAAGTGTGTTCATCTGAAGAGCTGCCTTATGGGAGTGGGAGAATCCTGACACCGCCTCAGAGTGAGGAACAGAAGGATGATTTCAGGAGGGATGAAGTCGAAATGCCCCCTCTGTGTGCTCAGCTGCTCACTTGTTATCTGAAATCATTTGCAGGACTCATGCAGGGTTGGGGCAGAGGGATGAATACTTTAATACAAAGTCCAGAGGCCCCATAGAAAACTCACCTTGTTTGTGTTCTGGTTTCATTTTTTATTTTTCCATGACTTCTCTGTAGGATTAATTTTATTATTGCTGTTGTTTCCCTGTTTCACCTGCACATAGTGCAGGATAAAACTCACTGAGCGTATCTTGAGGGGTTCAGAAAGGGTGAATGCTGAGCAGAGTCAGGGTGCAGAGGGTTAATTGGGCTGGATGCAAGAGCAGGTCAGCAAAGCTGCTTTTGCTTAGCAAAATAAAGCAACAGAGGGGACAGAATAATTATTGTTTCTATTAGGAGGGAGAGATAGAAGATACTTAAACACAAGAGTTGGCTGAAGAACAACTATGTGTTGTTTGGCCATGAGTAATTTAAACTGGAAATGAGAAGAAAGTGCCAAGCCATTAGGGCCTGTAAGTCAAACTGGAGGAGGCACAAAGGCTTTGCTGCCTGAAGGTGAAGCTCAGCACGTTTGAAGGGGATAGGACATGTTGCCTGCAACAGCAGAGGAGATTCTTGATAACCCAGCAGGACCCTTCAAGGGCTGTGTACCTCAAAATAAACCAGTGCTCCTGGCTACAAAATGCAGAATTAAGCATATGTTTTTGTCCCTGCACTGGAAAATGTGATTGCACATTTTGGTTGTTTTAAAGAACTACTCTTAAAAAGGCCACAAAAGACACAACTTTATTTTGAGTGTTTGTAGCTGAAAAGGTTCTTTTAAACTTGTAATTACAAAGCACATAAAGTACTTTTCACCAAAAAAAAAAAAAAAAAGCAGAGAAGGAAGGTAATATTATTTGCCACTTGAAATCCATTTGTCATTGAATCCTTGTCTACACACAGTAATCAACTGAAATAAGCAACTCTCAAATATCTCTCCATTCTGCCTGGATTCTATTCATAATAAAAGCAAAATTTTGTCAGAGTAATTTCCCTGCTTCCCAAGGGAATTTTATTCTGGAAGTTGTGTCTGTTTTGGGACAGGTGGGGGGCTACTTCAATGAAAGTTATTCAGCAGAACCTCTGAGCTGTATTTTTTGGAGTCACTAAGATCTAACATTTGTTTCAGTGAAAACATTTGTGTATCTTTTTCATATATTTTGTGAATTACCTCTGATTAAAGAGGATTATATTTTTCCTTTTTTCCCCCTTTTTTTTAAGTCAGCCTTCAGATTAACCAAAAATACATGTTTAGTTTGTGTTCAGTTATAAGAATTGCACTGAGCAGTGTTGGTTCAGGTTTAAATGGACAGTTTCCCTCCAAAGCTTTCACAGTTAGTGCTCACTTGCATCTTTATTCACTGGAAGGTCAAAAATAGCATAAACCTTGAGCCTGATCTACATAATCCCCTGAAGATGTGTTCCAACTTTGCCTCAGATCAAAGTTAAGGCACGCAGGTGAAATGTCACTCACATGCCATGTGCAAATCAGTGGCATTTCTAATAGCTTTCCCTAGTGCCAAATTCACATTAGACTGGGGAATGGAAATATATCTTGTGAAAAAAAAATATACTAGAGTTTCATAACTAAATGTATTTTATGGGAAGAGGAATCAATGCAATATCAACCTGTCTAAATGCTTATCAGTGGGCACCTGAGTCTTACCTTCATGTAAAAGTCCATAGTAAATCTCTTGTTTATAGTTCAATGGAATAGAAGGTGTTTGTGGGGAACAATGAGGTACGTGGAAGTGGGGAGGGATCTGTGCCAATAGTCCTGCTCAGCTGGTCCTTGACTCAGTGGGCTTAAGAAGGTGCTTGTGACACATATAACTGCAACAAGAATTTTTCAGCAATGGAACAAAATTACAAAACTCTAAAGCAATAAACCTATCAACTCTCCTTAGCTACATGGACCTTCCCTTGCTGTTCTGGTGATGCTCTTGGCATGTAACAGTAATGAGCCTCCACACTTCCCATGGGGAAGAGTTAACTTGTCCTTCCTATGCTGGAAGTGAATGCTAGAGTTCACTGCCCTGGACTTGAAGGCTCTTTGTGGAGCCTAAAATGGAAGGACATCTTTTTTTCTCTCTCTGTCTTGTGTTCATGCTTTTGAAACATCACATAGTAATATAAAAATACACATGCTTTTCTTTCTTTACGCTGTTTGCTGCAGCTCAGGCTCCCCCCAGCCAGGATAGAGAGAGTCACAGGATCCCTCAGACACAGTGGGAAAACTTTACAAACCGTATATCATAAAAACTTGTAATTGCACATTATAATAGAATAATTGAAATCAAATTGCTCTTTGATCTCTAAAATGTCAAAATACAATTTTCAGGCATAGATGAGCAGTGGCACTGAGCATTAAATACCTGAGCTGAGTGAAATCTGCTACTGCTGCAGGTTTCAGAGGACGTTCCGTCACTACTCCATCCTTTCTACCCCACTACAAACACCTGTCAGCCTGAATTCTGTAAGCAAAAATATTGCCTTTGTACTTGTTCATCAGGAACCTCTCTCCTCATGGAAAGTTTCCTCTTCCTGTCCTTAGCAGAAGTGTTGGAACTGGATCATTGAGCTGTAAGAGCCAAAAAAAAAAAAAAAAGTGTTGGAATTAGAGCTCCTTTTCAGTTGCTATTCCTAATGATGTAAAACCATGGTAATTAGAGCTGCAATCAGCTATTCAGTGCAGACTTGAACTCTTTTGAACAAGCCACTCACTTCTGTTTGCCCTTTAGGCTTGCAGTGAAGAGTGAGTTGAAAGTCATGCCACTTAAGCATCGAGCTGCCAGAAAATTTCAAACTGTCTTAGCAGCTGCTGAATTAGAGAGAAAGTGAGTCCAAACTGCATTTAGGACAAAAATCAGAACCTGGGAATCATCTGATGGTTACCACAGAGCGTGTTTACCAGTGCCAAAGCTTGTGGAATGGGAAGAGAAGTTCACCGTTTCCAGCAGTGTTTTCAGTTCTAGTACAGAGAGAGCAGAGCTTTATACTGAGGTCTTTGTCCTGTGTTTGGATCCGTAGGAACCCCTGTGAGCCCCATCTTGCTGAGCACAGAACTGCTGGTACCAGTCATCGTGCATGCCACCTTTATGGTGGTTTTTCTTGCTCTACTACCCAGCTGACCATGTTGTGGCAGCTCCTTCCCTCAACCCCCAGAGCAGGAGTAGATTTAATTCCTTTCTGCCCTCTGCTGTGCTCAACTCACTTCTGCATTTTTTGAAAAATCTTATTTCAAGTCACCTCCTTTTTTCCTTGCCTTACTTCTGGGAACCACCACTGAAGCTCCCGGTACCTTCTACTCAAGTATCTTCCATCAAACCTGTTTGTTGAATCTCTCAGCAATTTGAAACTCAGTGGAGATTATTTTGAGCTGAAAAATACCTGCTTTTGAGGAACAAATAATACCATACAGAACTAACAGGTGGGGGAATATTTTTGATAGCTCATAGGCACCCCTCACTGGTTTGTAAGTCATAGTTAGAAAATCAGAATCGTAGTACACTTGATGAAATATATGTTCACATGTAATGCCAAGATTTATTTTTCAAGTGCATTACTTTGTATTCCAGGGTTGTTACTTTGTAATTCCAGTGTTATGGGTTTCCTGATTAAACTTGGAATCTTATTTGGCATTTAAAAATCTGACTTCTTTGTTTCCTCTTGTTTTTGTTACTATTTCATTTAAGGAGATTTGCCTGGGAAGAAGGGAATCAGATTAGTAAAGTTTGTAAATTGCTCTACAAACTGTGTTAGAAGTGAAATGAAATGTTTATAAAATATTTTGCTGCGTGCCCCTTTCCGTTTTCTGAAAACAGACTATCCTAGTAAAAATATATTGTTAAAACTCATGTGCAGAGAAGGAGCAGGACTGAGGGAACCTTAAGTTGAGAATAGCTGCATCTTTTTTTTTTCCAAACTACCAAGTCACTCTTTGTTATTCTCTTCCCTCTGTTGAGTGGAATTATATTCTAGCAAGGCCAAAAAAAGATGATGAGACTTTAAAGCAAGTTTAAAGCAAGTTTGTTGTCACATTTACTATTCTCTTACAGCCTTATTCTGATGAAGGACTAGTATATCAAGAAGCAGATACAAGAATCAGTTGAAGTCAGAAAAAGATGAAATAAAGGAAATGTTACAGGTTTGGGTATTTTTAATAAGAAGTTTGAAGTTCATACCCCTGATTAGAATTGCTTATGTGCATGTATTTCAATCCACTGTGCAAGTTAATTTTCCTGTAACAGCTCCGGAGTGTTAGATACGCCTTTTTGGGACAATGCTGTGTATTGTTATGCAGCGCCATACACTGATCACTGGTAATTGGTTTTGTAAAGCAAGGGAGCAGAAAGTTGTTTTCACTTTGTGATAAAAATAAGCCGAATTTAACATTTAAAATCAGGTCGTCTTATAAATAATGTAATATTTTGGATTACACGGTGTTTTTCCCCTTCAAAGTGCTTTACAGGTGTTAATCTCAGTGACATTAGCCGTTTGTTTTTGATGATCTGAATTTGCAAGGTTTGGAATGACTCTGCTTACCAAAAACACATAGGGAGAAGTTTTGGTGCTGCTGACATCCATGGCAAGGCTCCCATTAGACTCCAGGAGGCAGCAGGGTTTCACCAAGGTTTTGGGTGCCTGCAAATGCCTACAGCCACAAAGAGTAATTGTTGGTAGCTGGTTCAGACACCAGATAGTTTGATATGTGTTACTAATGTCCATACAAATAGTGCATTTGCAGGAACTAATTAATTAGCATTACCACATCGTGCTGGAGCTTCTCAGTACGAGGCAACCAGTTGAAATAGTAAGTGACAAATTCAAATATCAAAAAGCCCAAGTGTGCAAAAATCTTTAAGCTCCCAAAATTCCAGATATAAAGATACCACACAGGAGTGCTTTCTGTCTTTTTATTTCAAGCCTCTAGTATTCATATCTGATTGCCTTTCCTAAACTATGGGAGGCTAAGGAACTCCAAGCAAAGCACATTATCATATGAACACCTGATTCTAAAAAGAGTAGCTTTATAATATTACAGTTCTGATAATAAAGGAGACTTGGCATCACTGGTATATGAACATTTTAATTGCCTGCAGAATTTCCAGCTATTGCTGGTGTGATACATGTGAAGTGCTGACACTAATCTGTTAGTCATTCGAGGCACAAGTGTTTTCCCCTCAGCTACCCTTCATTAGCTCCATTTACACTGATTCTCTCCTAGAAATGAGTAAGCAAATGAAGAGATGCCTGTGAAATCTGCTTTTTGGGTCAGCATCAGCTTTACATGAGATACCCTGCATTTTTGTGGCAGCACGGCCTATCTATGCTATAGCTTGTGTCCCCCAGATATATTTGTCATCTGAGCTCCAGAGTTGCTTGGAAGTGTAAAATAGGATAGAACAGTTGCTGATTCATTGTTTGGCATTTTGTTACACATCTTGATTAATTTCAAGGGTTGATATAATTCCCTAAAGTTTTGAGCTATTTCACAAAGGGTGCTTTAAGGCCAGGAGAAAACCTGTACTTTAATCATTAAGGAGGTGAACAATTAATGTGTTTGTAATAACGAAATAATATCAGTTCTGTGTAGACCTGTGTGCTGACAGCACAATAGTGGTGCTGTGCACATTACACGCATGGCTGCCTTTTTGTGGCAGGGAGTCTAGATCTGCTTTAGCATCAGTGAGAAAACCAGAGCATTTTCTGACTGCTGGGAGAAAAAAACATGGCTGAAATCTTCCCATCAGGATGTTTTATTGCCCAAACCACCTTATCTTGCAGAAAGCAGTAGGCTCTGAGATGAGAAGAAAACAGGGGCTTGCTTAGCAATTGAAAGATGAGAGCTCTGAAACTCTTCCTGAAGGTTTTTTTTTTTTCTCCCTAACTTGAGGTTTTGAAAGTTGGCGCTTCCCCCCCCATCCCCCCTTATGTTTTGGTTTGGTTTTGGTATTAAATGCTGAAGTGGTGTATAAGTGGAGCAACTCAAACCCACACAAGGCTTTTTTATATCAAATGTGATGTGATGTAACACAAGGTGGCACAGCAGAACCTAACACTGTGCATTAGATAAGGCAGCTTTAGCTGGAGATGTGCCTCCCACATCTTCATCAGGATTTGCAAAGCAGGAAATGGAGCAGACTTGGAGGTGTGCAGCAAGGAGGGTTTCATTCCACTCAGTTTTTCCTCCTACCCTTACGTACCACCTGGGTGGCATTTTGGTGTCCGTATACTTGTAAATAATGAGGTTTTATCAGCGACATTGCAGTTAGGTGCAGTAGCTGCTGCCCTGATTTGGCATTGTAATAACCAGTCATAACAGAACTAATGAAGTATCAGAAATCCAACAAAGGTCTTTATCACTGTAAATAAATACATTCGGAGAGTCATTAAAAGCATAGCGGGTGGGCAAAACTGAGGAAGAAGGATGGACTAGTCACTGATTTTGTTCTGAAAGAGATTGTTTTTAAATATCTATCCACCTGTCTCAAATTCTCACCATTCTGAATTTAAATTTTTTCCCATTCCGCATTGGGATGTTATGTTTATTCATTTTAAAGTTTATTTTTTCCGGGTCAGATAGACTTCTTTTTGTGATGGTGATAGTAATGAGGAGTATACAATCTTTAAGAACCTGTTAACCTGTGTCTTTTGTGCCAGAAGATCTGCAGAGTACCATGAGTTGGACTCAAGAAGTTGACAGGACTTGTAGACCAGACAGTCTTGGTAGAGGAGACTGAGCTTCAGGGAGGTGACACAGCTGGCTGAGGATGCTGGGGCAGGTCAGGACACTGTGGCTGGGGGTGCATGAAGGTAATGTTGGTAGGGATGTGCAGGTAGATAAATGTCAGGGGGTTTGTCTCCATCTTTCAGGGATAGTTTCTGGGATGTACAACTACATACTTGAAATTATGTTGAGTTACTGTTTTATTTTAATAGAAAACTATTTTAAAACTAATAAAGTTATGTTTAGCAAAAACATCTGTAAAATCATTGTCCCCTAGTAAAGGTTTTCTTTCTGTCTTAGTGTGCCATATGTGCCTTTGCACTCCTCGGGTCTGAATCTGGCTAAGCATTTTGTAAAATATTAGCTTACTATTAAGGGATGTTATTTATTAATAGCAAAATCAAACTAATGCCAAGAGAGCCCTATTTACAGGCATCCCCATTGTGCAGGCTGCTCTCTAAATATGAAATATGAGAATGTGCCATAAGCCACCAAGTTTGGGCGTGTGGATTTACACCTTGTAGCAATGCTGTGGTAAGTCTGAAGACAAATGCTCCCACTGAGCAGCATAAATAGTGATGTGACAGTAGCAAAATATGGTTTCTCCTCTCTAGTGTCCTCTATACTGAGTTTGGAGTGGCATGTGGGATTGGCCTTGAGGTGCTGCTGCCCTTTGGTACCTACGTGGCCATGCCAAGGGACAGGCAGCTGAGGAGAGGGGCTTTGGGGCTGGACATCTTCAAACTTGCAGCATGCCCCAAAAATTGTGAGATGTGTTCCAGAAATAAAGCTTGTAAGCCCTGGATTTTGTGGGCTTCTGGAAAAGAATAGTTACCTTCATGCATAGCCACACATGTATGCTTATGTATGTGAAAAATAGATATGTAATACCTGTGTATACACACACCCTTATCTATGCAAGAAGAACATGGGAGTCTCTAATTACTTTCTGATTCTGGTGTTTAGCTTCTGAAATTCGTGAGATTTCAGAAATTTAATGTCCATGTACATAATTGTTTAAATATTAACAAAGATTTTCATTTAAGCGTATGACTCCAACAGCTCGAGCTTTATGGTAAGCTCTTCATTTAATGAGCTTCAAAATAAAAATGCAAGAACTGCTGACATGCTTTCAACCATAGGCTAGATGGTAATTGTCACGCTAATTCTCAAGCTCTTTATTATCTTACTGTCTTGGCATTACCTTATATATATATTACTGCATAGTTAAATTTATATTTTCATAGTAATTAAATAGCATTTTATTAGCCTATATCTTTTTCATCGCTTCTAAAATCAATTCTCGTTTGAGATGCTGAAAATATGACTGAGACTTTAACGAGGAGGAATTGTTTAGCATCCCAACCAAAAATGAGTATTTGAAGCTAATACAATTTAACATCTTTAGAGCATCTAGAACTGAAATTCATGTTAATGGCAATAATGTTCTATGCCTCATTATGCTTTTTGTCAGTGACAGTGGGTTAATAATGCCCAAGATGATCTCTTCAAAACATTGCTTTCTTAGCATTAGCATTGAACGTTAGCATTAGAAATGTGGCATTTTTCACTGCATTTGGAAGTTACCAAACTTGATTTATGGCAGGGCTATATTCCTGCAGTAAATTATTCTCTTGCTTAAAGCTTGTATTGCATAGCTAATTTTTTGCTAGTGCAGTGACACTCTTGTTGTGCAAATCACGATGACAAGCAGAAAAGTTGAGCAGGGACAGGTAGGGGATTTCTTCATGATATGGTGCTCCTTATGCCTGCCTCTCTTGCTGCAGGTTATTCTTGTTCTTTCTCCAGTCTGGAAAAGACCAACTTTCATCTACTTTTTTAGATAGTATTTGTCCTTTATTAGAAATTCTTTGGCAATGGATTATACAGAATCAAGGGAATTGCTTTGTCACCACCAACCTCCCATTCCCTGCCCCCCCTGGCAGCACTAATGGCCATTAGCATTAATTATTTAAAGTTCCTTGTTTTGCACACAGAAAGCAGTAATCAATGTTCCATGCCAGGTACATGGTTGTGTACCCCCAGACTCTGGTACTTTACCTAAACCTCATCTTTCAAAGTGTCTGTTTTCTTTGTTACAGCCTTTGGTTTTTATTCAGCATGGTGTAAGCGCTATTTAGAAAGCTTGAGGGTTGTTTTTTTTTCCAGGCAGGAACATTTTCTCTGTAAATGTTAACCTTATGACACAGTCTGAAATCTTTTTCTTGCGTTTTTATTCATCTCCAACTAATTTTCAACACTTGTGCACTCTGGGCTGAAGACAACATAATGGCAAAACCTAATGGATGACCTTTCCACTTAGACTCACACGTGCCTTATTTTGCTGTTGGATATAGATGGTCCACAAGATGTCCACTTTGGAAGTTTTAAGGAATTGCGAGAAGTGAAAATCTAGACACAGCTGGTTTTCTCCTTCATGTGCAAAACCACCCCAAAACTTAAAAGCGTTGAGCAGTAGCCACAGATGTTTTAAGACATAAATAAGATGATAGTCTGGCTTCCAGACTGGCCCTTAGCAATTCCAGGAACCTTTGTCCTGTGAGTGGATTGTGCAAACTGATATTGAATTGTTCCAACTTCAGTTGAAATCCCATTGAAATTTATACTTTTGTGTCAGTGTGTGGTGAAGAGCAAAGTGTTCACACCAGCTGGCCTCCACATGGATGACTCCTATGGAGCCTAGAGGTAGATCTTCCTTAGGATTCAACTCTAGATAATTTTGATCTACCATCTTTAAAACATGGGGCTGTGAAGCAGGGCACATTGTATCTGGTGTCCCTTTAGATAATTTTTGAGCATTTATGGCCTTCTGAGCTTTCACCAGAATCAAGCCCAGGCTGTGGTGTGGGTCTGTAGTCACACATTGCATTTGTATATGCTCAGTAAAGCAGAATTTACCATGTGATGTGTTCCCTTCCCATGTTAATTAGGTTGCATAAAGACAAAGGAGTTGAGAAAAAAATGTTCTTGTAAGAATAGAGGAGAATTGCATGTTAGAAACAGCAACACTTGGGGTCACAGTTTTGTCCCATGTGTTCTTCCATGAACTCGTCATAGGCAGGGTTAGGAACCTTACAACTTCCCAGCTCCAAAAGTTGTACCACATAAGACTGAACAATTAACACGTGCCACATTGAAGTAAGCTGAGTTGAGGCCTTAATTCATGGACCACTTTGCTCACAACATAACAGTGTCACGCAACAGAAATACAGCTCCTGATGGGTGATGGCATTAAGAGTGCCTAAGTCATGCTACAAAACTTGCTTAATGATTTGTATTTTTTACCCTATGTTACAAAATGTAGTTGAGCAGATGGATGCAGCCAGCTGTACATAGAGCTTTAGGGAGTACTGGCGAGAAAAGAGAGAGGGTTTTGTTAAGATAAATGTAATAATCTCTGTGATAATTAGTTTAATTTAGATCCCTGCATCTGACTCATTTTTGACTAACCTTGTATGAAGCCTTTCTTGTCTTGCTGACGAGTCTGTGAATTTAGTTTGATTACAATCCCTTTTTTTGTTCTTGTGGATTGCTCACTGATCACTGATATTTTTCATTAAGCAGTTGCTTTATTACATTGTTATTTAGAGGGGAGTAATTTGTGTTTTCTAATTAATTTAATTCCAGGCACATTTAGTAAGTAGCTACAATGAGCCCATTCAAGGGGTTTTAGGTCATATTGACATTGTTTGCCAGATGTGCTTGTTTGTTTTAAAACATTGTTAACTCTGTGATGACAACAGTCCCATTCAATTGCTTGACTCTTTAATCTTCTCTAATCTGCATCTCCAAAACTCCACAAAATTAGAAGATGCATTTCAGGTGCTGGTGAGAGGTGTCCATAGGCAGCAAATCACAGAGGAATTGTACTGCAAGCAGTGTCAGTATAAACTATTACTGTTCTAGTATCAGAGCAGGGACAAGCCTTTTGGCTTCTCTTAGGCAGGGGTGTGGAGCTATTACTCCAACCACTAAAAAGCTGGACAATGCCAGAAAGATGCAAGCTGGGTGTTAAGTCCACACTTGGCCCATTTACCTCTGAAAAATTTGCAGTGAGGCTTCAGGGGAGAACGGGCAGCCTTGGAAGGATGAGCTTCCAAGCAAGGCACGGTGTGAGCAGTGATGAGACACGTTAATGGAATCAAAAGATGAATATTGTAATTCATAGCTGTCAATATTCCAGATTCATAGGCTTGGGCAATGTCTTTCCCGGAAGCTTTTTGGAAAAGCTTGGCGTTTTCTCGCTAGTGGTGCTCCCAGGATTTGGGGGTTATTCAAGCTTTTCGTGTTCATCACTGTTAAATACTGTATCCATTCCATCATCTGAGCATGAAAACTACCCATTATACCTATCATTTGCTCATTTGGCCTGCTGCGTCAAGAGCTGGAGTTCTGAAATGAGACCCTAATTAGATGAATAAATAACATTTTCACAGGGAAATGTACAGGCAGGTTATTCCCCTGACTATAAGCTTGTCCCATGAAAAACTACTAACATTTGGTAACGTGTTCTGCAGTCACTTATTTTGGTGAAAAGTCAATTATTGCTTGTTCTGCAGCAAAGTCTGGCACAGAGCAGTGACACTGTAAGATACACTGGCCTCTGAAGGACTCGCCAAACAATGGTCTTGATGTGTTTTCCATTACTTTTCAACTGTTTTCCATCTCTTTGGGATCAGAACAGGCAAAATTAATGACAAACTTGAAGGAAAGGTTTGTTCAGTACTTCATACTTATTAAATTTTAACGTTTAATGTTTGTGATGCAATAAACTGAATTCTGATACAATATGAATGAACAGCCCAGCTGCATTTCTGCTTTATATTTTGGAGGGAGCATTTAAATTGCTGTAATATCTTTTCTGTCTCATGCTGGTGTGTTAAGGGTGCATGTGTGCACAGGGATCTGTTCTACCTATTGATTTAATGGGAAAGAGCATCTCTTGGAAAGGGAGAGTAAACGTGTGTGCACGCACGTGGAAGGAGGGAGAGAGAGAGGAGAATCTCTGTCTGTGTGTTTATCTCTGATAAATGATGCCTGTTAAAAGTGTGACTTGCTATGAACATTATTAGCGCTTTCCTCTTTAAGTGTGTTATA